AAATGTGATAAAGCACCCACCCCTAAACACTTAGCATAGCAGCTAACATAAAACTACTGTTAACTATTATAAACTATTCGTTCTAAATAGTCTCTGAGCAACAAAGCAGTGGTACCCACCTGTAGGCTCTGACCCTTGAGGAGCTTAGAAGTTGTGCAAGGGATGTGAGAACCCATTTGTCCACCAAATGTATATATGTATGTTCACTGTATATTCTGACTTTTTAGTTTTTTTTTAGTATATAGATGCTTTTTCATAAGTAAAATACAAATTCATTTGAAAGCATTACTGATTGCCTAACACTTTCATGTCATTATTTATATCTTCAAGCAACTGACACTAATATGTACAATTACTAGTTGCTGAAGTGTTACACAAATTTTGGATATTGTGCTGGACCTCTTCCATTTGCCTTCCCACTTCCATTCTCCCCTCCAGCTGCCTCTCTACCTGGGGAATGATGACTGGCAGCGCCACCTATTGGCTCTCCTGCCCTCTGCTTCCTAATGAGTCCACAGTGGGAACAATGGTAAGCAACTGGAGGGAGGGAAGAGAGTGAGGTGGGGTACTAGGGATAGTCTGCAGCTGAATATAGTCCCTTTATTAAACTCTCCTCAAATTGTCCTAATTTAAGAGTATCATTTTCTTCCCCTTACCTGTGGGTCTTGACAGTTATAGATATTTAAAAACGGTGTTCATGCTAGAAAACTTTGACAACTACTGCCTTATATTTCAGAGGTAGATTTATCTTTTCCCTGTAAGCACATTCGTTTATTAATCCACAAAAGGGCAGCTTCTTTTCCGAGGTTGTGGGAGTTCCTCATCTGATTTGTACTTCAGAGAAAGCAAAGGCTTTCATTTTAAAGTTAAAAATTTACACGGGAAAATTATATGTCTTTAACATTTCATATCCAAATAAAGTACTGTTAGAATTGAAGATCAGAACTGGTCTTCTGATTTTTATTTGCAATAGTACCATTTGTATGGAAGTAAATGAAAGTTACTTTTTTCTGTATGTATGATTTCGTTTTGCATATAGATTTTTTTCTAAACTTTGGTCATTGGGAAATGTCGCCAAAACCCTGTGAATTTACATGATATCAAAAGGTGGATCTCTGAAGATGTTAATGCCTTTAAGGAGTACGTAAAAAAAAAAATAGGGTATCGAAACATGAATAGAATTTAAACGTTTGGTCCAATTAAAGGTGTTAATCACAGGCTATAACTTGTCTTAAGCCAAAGACTTCAAGTAAGTGAGTTCCCCTGGAAACTGCAATACTAGTCCTGCAATTTGAAGCTGGAATAATAAACTCATCAATCTCTTTCTTTACTTTCTCTCTTCACAGGCACAGAGCAAGAGAAAAAGATGGTCAGAAATTCCTCATATCATCTTTACCAGCCATTAATATGTCATTCAGTTAAGCTGCCTCCTGAGGAATCTTTGAAGTACCTTTTCTGATCCATTTGAAATTTTCCATAACTAATGATACCTTACAAGATAACTGGGGATTAATTAAAGCTGTTATAGCTCCTGAACTCCAGGTGAACCTTTGTAGGGTTGTTACCTTGTGAACTTCCCCAGAATCTCTATTGAGGATGATATAATTATTCCATTTAGGCACCTGCCAGATTCTACTTTATAATCTCCACAAGTTCTGTGTTCACCTGTGCTAACTAGTCAATTAAAGACCATTTTCTCTAAAGATTTCTATTATTTCAGTTCTGCTAAGTCACACATATTCCATTGTTTTATCTTCAAGACTCTAAATCAGCATTTCTTCTGATTTAGAACTCAACAATGCCAAAATAATATTCACACTGTTTGTAAATGCTGGAGTTTTATGCATATATATTTCTTTTTATTTTACTTCTTTAGTAAACATTTCCCTTCATCAACCCAAATCTTACATTTCATAGTCAAAGTAAAATGCCACCACTTGAAAAAAAACACAATACTAGTCTGATTCTTGTAGGAAATAAGCTTTCTCTCACTCCTAATTCTTAATACTTGATTAACTTTCCATTGTTCAACTTATATTTGTTTAAATATATATATGTTATACATATATGCAGCTTTAAAATGATTCTTCAAAAAAATTATTCAAAGCAAGTATATTAAAATATATTTAAAAATTAAACAATATGTATTGTCAATGTATGGTTAGTATACTATTTAACACAATCACTTAATAAGCGCTTATTTAACTGAATCGTTAGTCTTACTTTCTGCCAGTATAGTTGGAACAATAGAAATAATATAAAAGGTAGGCATTAAATATATTATTTAATAAATACTTCAATGTTTATCCATTTCTATTACAAATAGTATTATATTAAAAAATTCTTCCTCATAGACTTTCTTGAAAAAAATAGTTCACTCATACTCATTAATGCATTTATTTATTTTTCACTCATTCATACAAAAAATCTTTATTGAGAACCTCTAGTGCTCCAGAGACTCTGCTAGTATTGAAGGTATGATTTTGACCAAAATAGACATTTTATCATTACCTTATCATTATATAATTATTGTAATATATAGCATTAGTATCATTGCAACTTATTTCATGAGTTTTTTTGGTCCCTTCTGGTTTAGCACTAAATTATCTGAGAATCATGTATGTATTTTGCCAGTAAATGTTAGACATATAATTCTGAATTTTGTATTCTCTTTGCGAACTGAGGCTCTTATTTTGTGTCCTTATAGTGTAGAATAGAATATATTAGGCCTGATATTCATGTATTCAACAATCATCATTTCAGCACACATCCCATGAGAGACCCAATGCTTGGTATTGTGAGGGATATGAGGGTGGATCAGACAAGGATTTGGGGCAAGTAGTAAGGATGTAAGTGCCATGTATACAAATAATCCCAGTATGAGCCAGAGAAAGTCTATAGAAAACTAAAGATGTGGTGCTATTCGAATTCAGGACAGAAATCGATCATTCCCAAACAAAAGGTTAAGGTAAGACTTTTTGGAAGAATTGGCTTTTGAGCTAGATCTGGAAAGATAGGAAGAATTTAGCCATAAAAAATTTAGTGGATAGGAAAGGGGAAGAAGAATGCAGCAGAAGTGCATAGAAAATGTCTTTTTCCATACAAATGACACTTCATTAAAAGAATATAAAATATTTTTTCCCAAGTTATCCTATATTACCACTGCTTTTTATAAATAAATTTGTTCAATAATTATAGTAGTCACTTTTCAAATATTCAAAGATAAATTATCCTACTCCTATATTTTTCTTCATCCTGTCTCTTAGGGGTTAGTTAAGCCCATTTAAATATTACCAGAAGAAGGACATAGAATGTCCCTCATTTTCATAAAATTATTCCAAAATCTCTATGATCTAAATGTAGCTCTACAGAGCTAAATCAGGGAATTATTTTAGTCCATTCTAATTGTGTTTGTAGTGTGTGGTAGTTATGTTTTCTATCAAAGATTTCTGAAGCAAGTTATAGAAGTCTGTTATCACTATTTTATGTATTAACATGCAATGATGAACTAACAATTTGACTGAAAATATTAACAAATGTTTTAAATATGTAGCCAGTTTCCACACAATACTCTGCTGTGTTCCAATATGGAATTGGGATTATTCAGATGTTATCCATAGTGGAAGCACTTTGTTCATAATGGCTTCTCTATATAACCTACTACAAATTAACCAATTACTCGACATTGAAGGTGGTTATTTCCACAGTGGTATCTTAACTGATATTTAGCTTTAAATGTAACAGTTCACAGTCACCTTTTTTCTTAATTGCCCACAGTATTCTTCCTAAACAAAATTTCCCTTTACTCCTTTTATTATATTGTCCCTTGGGCCATTGGAAAACCCAAACTTTTGTACATGTATATTTTTTCCACTCCATAATGACCTTAAAGTTGTTTCTTTCTTTGCCCCCTCCAGACCCTCAAATATTACTTAATAACTCTTTAAGGAGACTTGTTAGTTAAGTCTTCTTGTGTATAAATAAAGTTGGTCAATAAATGATCAATGCTATAATGATTTTGCAACAATTACTTCAATTAGCTTCTGTCAGTCACATAAAGGGGAGAATCACTTAACTATCACATGGACTCCCTCTATTTTCATATGAAATTTGTAACTGGTTTTTAGGAAAATCTTAGATGACTCAATTTTCTAAAAATGCATTTGTTTTACACAATTTCATTCATAATTGCCAAAACTTAAAAACCAAACTCAAAAGGCTACATATTGCTTTGTTTCTACTTATATGACATTCTAGAAAAGGCAAGACTGTGGTAACAGAAAACAGATGGTGATTTTCAGGGCCTGGGTGATGAAAATGCATTATATCCTAATTTTCGTGGTGCTTACACAGTAGTTTGCATTTGCCAAACTCACACAAATTTACTCTGAAAGGGTAAATTTTATCATATGCAAATAACACCTCAATAAATCTGACTTTGAAGAATGAAAAATTCATTAATATCACAGATTTTGAGTCAATCTAAAGATATATATTTTTTTTCCCAAAAATCATTAATAGATTCATCAAAAAGGTAAAGAATTCTTGGTTCCATAAGATGTTTTAAGAATTTTCCTCTTTTCAGAGTACTGATAGTAGTTTCCTATCTTTTGTTTTACTAATACAAATTACGTTTTAGGAAATAAAACCTTCTTGCTTTGCTTTTATCATTGTCTTAACTACAAGTTTACTAAAAAAAAGAAAAAAACCTCTAAAAATAAGAGTATTTAGTTAAATACCAGCTTGTTTGATGAGTTCATGGATTATGATAATCATCTAGTCTCAGAATGACACACTACTATTTCAATGTTTGCAATTGCAAGATTATTATATTTTACCTCTCACAGTCTTGTAAGCAACTTAATAATTCAGAAAGATAATGGAAAAAAATCACTGCTAGAAACTCTCACATAATAATAACTGATACTCAGATTCAAGAAACAAAATAGCAGGATTAGAGATAATCCTGAGAAGGATGCTTTAGACAGCAAATGCCTTACCTTTGCGTTTGGGTCGCATAGCTATTATCATAAGCCTCATAGGTCGGGTCCTCATATTCACCCCCATAGCCATCATCGTACCCCTGAGGCAGAAAATGGTAGAAAGACCTATTAGCAACCAATTTGAATAACTTTGATATCTTTTTCACTAATAAGATTTTATACAATGTGACCTTGGTTTAGTTTTATGTTTGCTTGGTGACCATATAACGTTTTGCTAGATTAGCAATTCCCACATAACCTTGAATATTATTTCATGGATCAGCTATTAATGTTTATTAATTAAAATCAGCATATCATTGAGGTAGCAACACTTACTCTAAGATTTATTTAGAATTTTCATCAGTAATATTGAAGAAAAAATTATAATGAAGACAATTTAATAAATTCAAAATATATTTTTCTTTTGAAAATATTTGGTTAGATAAGAACAATTGTGATACACTAATGGTGGTGATAACATATTTGTTACAACCCTACTGGGAGTTTTTTTCTCCTAATAATAATCATAATTAAGGTAGAAACTATAAAGTACAGGATCCTTAAACTGTAGCCAACTTTCAACAAAAAAGATGGAAGCATTTCTTAAAAGAAAAATAACTAAATGAAAGAAAGAAAGGGAAGAGGAAAGAAGAAAAGAAGGAGTGAAATAAAGACCTTTTATTTCTTGCACATTGTATAATTTTTAAATCTCTTAATTAAAATAATGATGTATAGTGAGTTTCATTACCTGACTAAATTACACTAACAAAGCTAACCAGATTTTGTCATTGCAGCATGTGCAAGCAAGCTAGCAATTACACACTCCAGTTATCAATCACTCTGTAAATGATTTAGTTTTATTTCCCTTTGTGGTCATTGACTTTAAACCCTAGCCATCCATCTCAATTACTCCATAGTTCTGAAAAATCCTTCAGATTTTCTGACTCTGGTTCTGGTGCATCACTGGAAAGCACTTCCACCCCATCCTATCAATTCATAATTTCATTTCAGTATGGAGGCTTATAAATCTCTCTTTCTAAATCTTGTTCAAAAATTTCAACAGAAAATGTCTAGATGTGATAGTTTCCACATTAATCTTGATTAAGACTTTTGAGCCCATTTCATCCAAAGACTAATTTTTTTTATCAACTTAGGAAGTTTTGAAAATTTTATTTATTTCTTCTTTTCTATCAGGTTTACTTTTTAAATAATGCTATTATTTACATATTAGGGTTTCTAAAACCAACTTCCATTTCTTCTATTTTTTCATTTCATCATATTTTTGCACTATAGCATGGAATAGTTTCTCTAATTGACCTTTGAATATTCTATTTGAGTCCTATTGAATTTAAAACTTTAAAAAATTACAAAGTTAACTTTAATATTTATTAAAAAATTACATGTAGATTATTTTAAAATAGTACTAGAGGGTTTATGTCCCCAAACTAGTAGCTTCTTATCTTGTTCTTCTTCAACCTCCAGTGTTCTTTCAGTCTTTTCATCTATTATTTTAGTACTTATTTTTGTGTTATTAAGTAATATGGTTAACTTAATGTTGCTTGATTTATGAATTTTAGTCATTTTCTATTGACTGGCCATTTAGGTAGTTAAGATTTAGTTCTATTATAGATTCTTTCCCATATTTCTCCCTATGCCTATCTTCCTAATATTATTTCATCATTAGTTTTTATTAAATTAATAGTCATTTCCTTTTGTGTTACATGGAGACTGCTTCCTGAAGAACCATAAAAATTAAACCAAGGTCATATTGCCACAGGTGCCTCATAGGATGCAAATTTCTTTTTACTTATCAGGCTTTTGGTCCTCTACCAAGATTATATAAATACGGCTTCATTCACCTTAACTTTTTATTCAGACTCAAGAGCTCTAGCTTCCAAAAGGAGGCAAGGGAGTTCTAATTTGTTTTGTTTTGTACCATTTTATTTTTGTTTGTGTCTTCCAGCAATGAGCTAGAGGAGCCAGGGATGGGGGTAGGTACATGTCTTCAGGGCCTCAATTCCCTATGTTTTTTCCTGAATTCCCTATGTTTTCCCCATTTTCATCTGTTGAAATGCTACTGATTCTTCAAGGTCAGTATAGACAATACTATCTTCAGGAAGCTTTTCCTGTTCCTACTAACCAGATGGTAACTCTTAGTCCCCTGAATTCCAATAGCCTGTTGTTTTTGGTCACTACTACTTAGAATTTCTAAAAATGTGCTATATTTATTTTTCTACAATTTTCTCTCTTTGTAGAATTTAAGCTTCTGAAAAGCAAAAACTATATCGTAATCACTTTGCCTATGGGACTTAGCATAGTGTATTCCATAGAGTAGTCATTCAATAAATATATATTGAATTGTTAAATTAGCACAAAGGAGATCATTCTCATCCAGTGCAGATATGGATTGACATAAATTAATCACCACTAAAAGATAACTATTTCAAATGATAAGTATATAGTACTATTATATCTATTTATGAAGAATAGCTTTACTAATTGGTTTGGGAAGAGTATTTCATTTTACTTCTTCACTTCTACACTTTTTAAATATTACACAGAAAATCCACAAAATAGATAGAAATTTTTCCTGTTAAGCTATAATTTCATGAGGTATAATGCAATGGCTCCCAAATAATTGTACTTACTGTAAAAGAGAAAGTAAATTGGATACCTATATATAATCAATTTTTGTTTTCTAATCCTTCATGTATTTTTTAAAACCATCTTTTTAATAAGAAATATTTAAAAACATAAATATTTGTAAATGCATATGTATGTGTATAACTATTTGTAAGCATATAGTACTACAAAAGAGTAAACTATCATTAGACCAAAGTCACAAAATGGAAAGTGTCACAATGTTTAAGATGCCAACACTGTATCCTAAATGTCAAAAATAAACCATAAATTATTCAAGAGTATATTCTCATTGCATAGATCACATAGTTTTCCTAATGCTGACAGTATAGGGAGTGAGTGGCTTTCTAAAGAAGAGGAAGGAAAGCAAGAGTGTCCTGAGACCTTGAGTAGGGAAAGATAATAGCATGACCATGAAGAGCATGGGCTTTGGCTTTATTCTACCTGAATCAAACTGTGAATCTTAACAAGATTCCCATATGTGGAATCTTGGCCAATGTTTTAACTGTTCTGTACTTCAGTTTCCTCATTTGTAAAATAAGAATATCACCAACCTCATAATTATTTTAAAGGAATTTAACCACATAGTAATGTAGCTGTAAAGCACACACACCATGCCTGACAAAGAGCTATTGCTTAGTAACCATTCTCCATTAGCAGAATTAAGCAGGCTTTGAAGGACATGTTATTTTTATGCATGCTTCAGAGATAGCATCAAACTCTTGAAGGCAGAAAGAAGCAGAATAAAATATAGGAGAAAAAGGAAGAGAGCTAGAGAATTCTGTTCTATTCTGAAATTTTATCAAGGGTTAGGCCCACCTCATTTCTTGAGAATTTGGAATTAGGACTGAGATTCTGGTTCAGTTTAGGTTCATTCATTCATTCACCTCATAGACATCTGTTGAACACTTATTACATGCTAGGCACTGCATTAGGAGCTAAAGATTTGGCAATAAAAAAAAAGAAAAGAAAAAAAAGAAAAGAAAAGAAAAGAAAAGAAAAGAAAAACTGGGAGAATTATATGGATCTGCAGTCCCCAACTACCTGGGCCACGGACCAAGGTCCACATTTGTTAGGAACTGGACTGCATCATTGACTAAACTCTGCACCCCACCTCCCCAGTCTATGGAAAAATTATCTTCCATGAAACTTAGGAACCTTGTACACAGAAAGAGGTAAGAAGTGGGTAAGTGGAAGGCAAGCAAGCAAAGCTTCATCTGTTATCTGTATTTACAGCCACTCCACATTGCTGGCATCATTACCTGAGCTCTGCCTCCCCTACTGAGCTCTGCTTCCCACCCACAAAAAAGGTTAAAAAGTTTGGGGATCACTGATGGAAGTTCTATTACAAAGAAGGTCTACACCTACAAATGGGAAATGGAGCAGTCAGGTTGAGGTTCTCCAGATGTTTTGTAAAAGATGCCCTTCCTTTGTTTTTCTAGGTCCTAGAGGAAAAGGAAACCTACTCAGAATCAGGGAAAGGTGATGGCTACTGACTGGAGATCCTTCTGACACATTTGAGAACAACTAGCTGGTCCTGACGTACTATTTTTTTTTTAATTTCAGAATATTACAGGGGTACATAAGTTTTGGTTATATAATTTGCTTTTGTACAGTTTGAGTCAAACTTGTAAGTGTGTACCTCACTCAGAAAGCATGCACTGTATGCTTTAGGTGTGAATTTACTCATTCTTCCTCATCCCTCCCACCTGCTTGACTTCCATATGTACATGTAAGTGTTGGTTGATGAGTTCTAATTTAGTATTGGGTACATGTGGTCTTTGTTTTTCTATTTTTGTGGTGTGTCACTTAGCAGAGTGGTCTCCAATTCCATCTAAGTTGTTACAAAAGATACTAGATCACCTACTAATGTATTGATGGGCACTTGGGTTGTTTCCACATCTTTACGATTGTGAATTGTGCTGCTATAAACATTTGAGTGCAAGTGTCTTGTTTATAAAATGTAATTTTTTTTTCTTTGGGTAAATACCTAGTAGTAGGATTGCTGGATCAAATGGTAGGTCTACTTTTAGTTCTTTGAGGTAGCTCCATACTACTTTCCATAGAGGTTGTACTAGTTTTGCAGTCCCACCAACAGTGGATAAGTGTTCCTTTCTCTCTGCATCCACACAAGCATCTGTTGTTTGGGACTTTTTGAATAAGAGCCATTCTCACTGGAGTTAGGTGAGATCTCATTGTGGTTTTGATTTGCATTTCTCTGATGAATAGAGATGTTGAGAATTTTTTCTTGTGTCATGAGGCATCACTTTACCAGACTTCAAGCTATACTACAAGGCTATAGTAACCAAAACAACATTGTACTAGCACAAAAACAGAGACATAGATCTTTGGATCAGAACAGAGAACCCACATATGAAGCCATCCTCATATTACCATTTGATCTTTGATGAAGCAGACAAAAATGCACATTGGGAAAAAAATATCCCTATTCAATAAATAG